ATAATAAAAAATTAGCTTACATAACAAAAAAAATCAATGTCCTAGCATATATCTTCCTCTAATATACGAAATACACGGGTTAACATGAGGATTCTTCTACCCCTACCTCATGTTCAAAATACACCATGTTAACAAAAAAAAAAAAACACATGTTCAACTCTAACTTACATATTCCTCTATAATTGCTACGACATAAAACATAGACCAATGCAAATACAACAAAATTGTAAAAAAAAATAAAAAAAATTACAGCTTCAAATTTTGTTTGGTCTTTTACATAGTTTCATCGTCTTCACGATTCACTTCTTCATCCACCCACCGGAAAAAGTTTCATTTTTGTTCTTTCTACCCAAACCTAAACAGCGCGTGAATCAATCATAAGTTGGTAACATATAATTATTAAGAGCATAGGAAAATTTAAGGTTCCATTGCTCATGAATTTCGTCTTAATGGTGTGATCTGAAAAATAAATGATACATGATAATATACTTTATTTACCATGTCATAAGCTTTGTTAGTGATGTAAAAATATTTATAAAAGAAATTAATTTTTTGAACTTATAAAATATATTTTTAATTTAGAGGACTTAATTAATACAAATTTTTTTCCCAAAAAATAATATTACATATTCTATATATATTTTGAGGAAGAAAAACATATTTTATCCTGTGTATATTACAAAATTTAGTTAAACTCATATGTCAGATAACATTTACACTATTTTTAATATCAAAATAATGCAAATGATTGACCGCACCAAAATAACAAGATTAATATTTAACAACCGAATCGTAACTTTGAGAAATTTTAACATGAACTGAAGTCATAGTTGATTTTTTTTTTTAATTCCCATGTTTTTTAATAATAAATAATTGTTTCAAACATATTTTAATCAAAAAGACTTTTTCTCAAAAGAAAACCTACGTTTTATAAGGAGTAATTTATATTAATAAATCAAGGTTCATGAGAATTATTTTTATACGTGACAAACTTTGCTTTGTTTCCATGTAATGTAATATATCCAAATAAAAATGTTAATAAATTATACAAAATTCAATGACAAATATCAAAATTTTAAATTTTCTTCTCATTTAAATTATTCCTAGTTCCATTAAAAAAAAAAATCTTATATAATGTAAACCAATCTGTTAATTTTTCTACAGTATTTCATATTATCAATTATGTCTAGCGGTTTATGATTAGTCATTGTGTTATTGTTGAATGGAATAAATAATAAATGATATTATAATATTTTTAAGTTGTCAATATTAGCATTACAATGTTAATATTTGTATTTTAAATTACTAAATATTTAAATTATTTTTTAATTATCAAATATGGTCTAATATTAAGACTATCTGTATTTTTTTTAATCCAAACTCTAGATTCTATACCCAAATCCTATAAATTAAACTGCTATACTAATCTTTTTTATGCATCATTTAAGCTGCAATACTAATCTCCCTTATACATAATTTAATCTTACATATTACGATTAAATTAAATAAAATTAACTTCAATTATTTATATAAAAGTATCAATGTTTTATTCCTCAAATAATGAAATTAATCTTAACACCTTTCACTTTCACGTCCTTGGTATGCTATATAAATCATATACGTCATTTATTCCACCATAAGGTTGGCTAAACTAACAAGATCAATGAAAAAGGTCGTGAGTTGAATTATTATTATTTTTTATGTGGATCGTGCTTGTATTTATTATATATAATTTATAAAAGCATGTTTTTTATTTGAGCAAAGAATACAGAGCATGATCTGGATTTTATTCCATTCATTTGACCCACTGAGATGGAATCCACCACATCATGTTGACGTCAACCAGCCCAAATCTGAGGCAGTGTGGCCCATACTTAAACAACTATTAATGGGGCAACAAGATTAGGCTGACCCACTTACAAGTCAATTGTTCTTTTTGAATATGAAATGTGTATTGGGCTACAAAAAATAGAAACATTTATATATTCTGTATCAGGAAATATATAAATGACTCACTTTTAACATTCTTTTTCTCAAGACACTATTACTAATTAGTTTATGTGGCTAAATGGTGCAAGTTTAACACTCAATTTAATGTGTGAATTTTATCTGAAAATAAAAAAAGTGTCAAAAGTGTATTAAAGAATAAATTACTAATATGCCTCCTTATTTGTAACAATCATCAAAGACATATGATATGATCCACCTAATCCATTCCTTAGCAAATGAAAATAATCTGTTGTTTAGTACTACATTATCCAAGTTGAAGGAAAGGAATCAACAGATGCTGGATCTAGTAAAAAGAAGGAAAACAGTTGTTTTTACGGTTTGATTGTGTTCCTCTAAAGCAAGATGCATATGTAGAAACAAACAAAAAATTGAAGCAGAATTGGGTATGCCTTTTTGTTGTCTTAGCTTAAGAGGATAGATCTGTCTTTCCCTCACAGGTTACTATCTTATCTTAAGAAGGAAATTATGACGAGTTTTTCCTGTGAACATTTTTATATGTAAAAGAATGTACTTTATCTTGAGTCTTGTCATGGCATTAGTCATAAGAGATTTGACGGGTACCAAGTGCACCATCCAGACAATTCATTAGTGGGAAGTGGACAAATAACAAATGCTCACTCCGCGCACAAAGTTAGTGACTTTGAATAAAGAGTTAGTATTGCGATATGTGTGTAAAAGCTTACGTTTCTTCTAGGAACCAAACTCTGAATAAAGAGTTAAACTTTCCCCTTTCGAGAGTAACGAAATCGATTAGGTTGCACAAAATGTCAAACAAAAAGAAGTTTTATTTCAGATATTTACTTTTACAATCCATGAAATCCTGGCGTTGCTGTCGTAGTTGCTAAGAAAACAAGAGACAACAACGTGACCACTAAGGAAACAAGAGATAGTGATATGCCATTATTATCATCAAAGCATTTATAAACTAGTTAAGTTTACCACACCAATTGATATTGCATTTTCTATTTGACTTTACATTTATTTTATCTTTTAACATCCTTTTAGAAAAAAAAAAAACCCTTTTGGCAAAATCCTTTTTCCTTCTTCAAAAGAAACTAGGCCAAATAATCAATAAGCCAGTGGTTTCGAAAAAAAATTTCTAGTTCCGACCTAAACGAGGGCAAGACAGTGCTTTAGACAACGTACAAACAGAATACTATTTATGTAGCGTATATAAGAACAAAATGATTTTCTCCCGTATATACCGTCTTATACATGGACAGTATGTCCAGATCAAGAGTAAATTCCACATAAATCTTTACAAGTTGTTTAACAAGACAAGCAAAACTGAATTAACGGTGGTAAAAATACTTTTCACAATGGAAAAAAAAAAAAGAAAATGCATGGTTGCCAACTTTGAATGGATAGTGCATTGTTTACGAAGAAAACATTATACAGTTTTTGTTCGTCATCATGAATATGAAGTGGGGTAATTTGTTAATCAAAATCAAAACTGATCTATTAACAGCCGACCATAAGAATTAAAATTCCAAGTGAGCCTTGAAAGCACAAACTACAAATTATTTATAAGCTGAATCCAAATCTATGCCTCTTTAAAAAAGACAAATAAATACAAGAAAAATGATTAACACATGATGAAACTTTGGAAACCAGAGAAGATTCGATGAACAAGTTATTTAAGTGACCTCAAAGTGATGTTGACCCTACCTAATTAGATGGTTGCTTTACCTTTTTTAATTTCCACATTGAATTGAGCAACTGCAATTAAGATAAGAAATAGTTCCAAGTAACACAGAAAAGAAAAGTTATCCATAGACAGAATTGCAGAAGACAATGGTCTTAAAAATTTCAGACTTTTTGACCTTACTGTCAATCAAAACCATTTATGTATGGTTATTTCTCTTACACTCTCACTTGGTACTGCTCCTATTGATATGTATATATATTTTTGGAGTGTAAACACTTGACATTCATCACTATAATAACATATATTATATTGGGTAATGCCACTGATAATTTGTACTTTTGCCATTCCATTCAAAATTAAAAAAAGATGTCAATGTGAACAGTTGGAACATTATCCCTTATGTCTCTAAAACATACCTTAAGATCCTGATCATGAGTAAATTGAGCATCAAATTAAAAGACCCTCATGGAGTCCCAGTACACAGGGAATCAGAAAATTTCAGTCAAAGAAGAATTACATAATTAAGTAAACATGAACTTATTGTTTTGGTATGCAGACCTACAAATTATGAAAACTAGCTTCCTGAGTTCATCTAGCATATAGACCCCACGGAGTAAGATTAGAATTTTAAAGGATTGTCTTACATTAGACATTCAAGTCTTCTATAGAATTAAACAATTTACAACTCACCTCTAAACAACACAAAAAACTCAACTCCAAGGAGACAAGTCTTTTGCAATAGAGGTTCCTGGATTTAGTCGAAGAATTCACAACCAAACAAGCCAATCAGATTCGCTTCCATTAGTTTTTGCGAATGTAAACCGTGTTATTACCACTTCTTGCCGATCCTTCCATTAATACCAACACAAAACCACCCAATCACTGAGACTCCAGATTTCATCCAGCCGTGATCAGAAGAAGCCCCAACAACCACCGAGTGTTACCTCCGTGTTACTAACCATTGCATTTCTATTGCAACCCAAAAGTGACATCATGATGAATGTCAGTCACTAGAAGCCGACAGAGAAGTTTATCCAAGCAGAACCAGATCTTGCTAGTCCAGCAAGGTAATTAATTAATTACACCACACCTACCAGAAGCATCATGACTGCTGGAGCTTTTGAATCTGCAGACTTAAACTCTAGACTCCAATATCCCAATTAGCAACACCAAACTAATTAACAATAACCCTAACACAAAAATATCAATTAAGACCTTAACCATACATGAATTTCACATTCACAATACAACAAGAAGACAGCCACACATACCAGAAGATCAAAGCGTACCATACTATTACCATCATGATCATCATCATCATATATGACCAAAATTCCTTCAATCAATCATCTCCGGTTGGAAACAGAGTAAGAACCTTTCTACCTCCAGAGGCAGCATTTGCAGATTCCATGTCCTCGACATAGCCACTCACAGGGTGGTGGTTGTGCACAGGACCACCACCACCACCCCCCATCCTCTGAAGATTCGGCCTAGACATGAAAGGGTTCTCGAAGTGCCCATTCGGGGGCGACCCGAAATGCCCCACCTGCCTATGGTACTGCGCAGCCGCAGCCAACTGCTGCTGTTGCTGCTGGTGGTGGTGGAGCGCCGGCACAGGCACAAACGGAAGGAAATGATCCGAATTTGGCCTCGTCGCCGGGTGTAAGAAATGCGCCGGCACCGGGGAGCTGGCGAAGAGGTGGTCAGTGGCAGGGTCGGCGACTGCGGAGGCACCCCCGCCGGGACCACCAGGCCCAGCAGCGGAAATCCCCTGCATGCGCTTGAGATAGAGACGGTACTTCTGCAAGTGGCTAGCGACGTTTTCTCGCGTCAAACCGTCGACGCTCATGAGCTGCATTATGGTCTTGGGAACAGCGTTTTTGATGCCGAGGTGGGCAACGGCGTCGACGAAACGCTTGTGGAGCTGTGGTGTCCACACGAGGCGTGGGCGCTTGAGGGTTCTGGCAGGCTCCTCGCCGGCGGTGCCGGAGCCGAGCTCGCCGGAGTCGGCGAACTCCGCGGAGGTGGGTTGCTGAGGGTTGGGGAGCGAGGAAGGGTTAGAAGGTTGTTGCTGTTGTTGCTGCGGCGGTTGTTGCTGGTGTTGATGTTGATGTTGTTGCGCTGTGTTGGGGTTGGCGGTGGTGTGGGGGTTTCTGATGTCGAAGGCCATGGCTAGATCCGGCGTGATTAGGGTTTGCGATAGGGGCATGAGTTCCTCTGGCGATGGGAGCTCCTCTTCCCATCGCGAAAACCAATTCGAATCCTCTTCCCTCATTTCTCCAATTGGACGAAAGTGGAGTTTCCTTTAATTTCTTAGAAAATTTAACTGTATAAAGAAAGGGTGTGGATGTGGCGGTGGAGATTGGGATTTGATTCGTCCTGGGAGGGGAATTTGATTTAGAGGGTGTGAAAGTGGTGGTGGAGGTGGTGGTCTTGGAGGGTGGAGTGTGGAGAGAGGTTCGAGGTGGATCTTGTTTTTCTCTCTCTTTTCAGCTTTTTATTGTGGGCACTGTTGTTGATGCTTTTTCTTATGATTTTTATTTTTCCGGGATTTGGGGGTCTTCAAACTTGAGAGTGAGTGTTACAAGATCTCTCGAGGTTTTATTTTTATTTTATTTTCCGTGGTGCGTGTTCTAAACGCGCCCCTTATCCATTTTGTAGTTCAAAAAATAAAATTTTTATCTGTTGAAATTACAAAAATCCTACCTTTTATAATTAACTGAACTGGACACAAATTAAAAAAAAAAAAAAACTATATCGTATAGGCTGGGCCGGCAGATAGATTAGCGCGTTGAATACACGGAGGGTTAGGGGGAGGTGGGGGAGGTAGGAGAGGAGGGCAATAAGGATGAAATGTACGGGTGTGGGAAAGATCTGAGATGAGGAAGGAATGTGGAGAGAGATGCAAAGATTGTTGGGTTTGTGGAATTTATTTGTTGTTTTGTAGATAGGGATAAGTTGAGGTGGTGTTGGTTCGCTTCTCATGATGTCGTTAAAATTCGATATGACTGACCGTGAATGAGTTGGGGAATAGGGAAATTGAGGGGTGAGATTATTTTAATTAATTGGGTGGAATCAAAAATTGGAAAAGGAGCATGTTGCATGTATAAAATAATGAGAAAGGGTAGTGGTAGGAGGCTAGAGGAAATTAATAATGAAGGAAAAGTGAGAGGGAGTATCTTTGGTTTGGAGTTGGAACAGAAAGCATGAAATGCCCAGAAGGGAACTGTTGCAAGTGGGTTGCAGAAATGGATTTATGCCCCAATCACTCACACAAGAGAAGAAGGTGAGGGGGAAACACTAGAGGCATGGTTTGTCTACCCATTATTAGCAAAAGGAGATGGTGCAATTATTGTCCCTAGAAAGGCATGTTTCCTCGTGCAGGATTGGCAACAGTACTGACGGACCAATTGAATCAAGGTAATATGATAAGGGTACCCCCATGTGATATCCATGTTTGATGTTTCAACAAAACACCAATATCATGACAGGTGTATCTCTTCCATCATTTATGTTTTGGCATTTACCACACACAATGCCCTTCTATAGTATTGTTTTCTTCTAGTAGTAGACTTGTTTTTCTCCCCCCAGGAATATTCATCACAAATACCCACCATTTCAAAACTATTTACATATCTAGAATTAGAAACATCCAACACCCTGTCTTCATACATTGTGTTCCACTTTCCTTAACATAAAATTAGGCGTTTCAATAATTTCATGTTAGTACTATTTTATTCAATAATTATTTAATTAAATATTATTTTATTTAAATTAATATTTCTAATTTTATTTGATTCAGTTTTACTGTTTTTATTATTATAAAATTATCAAATACTATTTATATAAAATTTATAATTTTTTTTCCAATTATTAAATGTTTTATAATAAAATTATAAATAAAAGATATATTAATTTTTTATGATGATGATTATTATATTCTTAATTTTAATATTTTTCATCTTTAAAACTACGTTTCACTATTATAATTAAATATAAATGGTTTTGTCATTATTTAATCAATATAATTATTTAATATATGATATTATATTTAAATATATTTTTTTCAATTCAAACTAAGTAAAGCAATTTAGAAAAAAAAATTTAAAATTAAAATTTAAAATTTTTAAAATCAACTTTTCATATTATTATTTTGTTGATTAGATTTTGAACATAATTAATTAATATCTTATTTCTTGATCTTTAAAATTTAAATAAGAAATAACATGCTATTTTTTCGAACAACAAGAAATAAGTCATGGATTTGAGGGTCCGACAAATAAAAAAAACATTTTTTGAAAAAGATTTATGGGTTTGCAAAAGTAAACCTTCACATAAGACAAAATGAAAAGAAAAAGTTTTTTTTTTTACCACGTGTACTTACGAACAAGTGACAAAATAATGTAACCTAGTTAGATTGTAATTCTCAGGACGACATGAAAGTAAAGACCTGTCAAAGTTTTGTGTTTGTCATGTATTATTGAACTGTTAAATATTCATTTAAGAAAGTACCAAATGACAAGAATCTTAATCCCTGATGTTCATCCACTGATCATAGACAAATACAAATGATCCCGATCTAATTCAGTTGGCAGAGCTGAATTTTATATTGACAAACTTTCCTTGTATTTTAGAAATTAAAATCTCACTACATGTGATTGAAAGATAAATCATTAAACACAAATAAAATCTGGTGCCCAAATATTTATTGGCCCAAAAAAAATTGTGATAGAAAAGAAAAAGGTGCATCATTCAAGCCTATAATATAAAAATGGTAAAGAAAATTATGTACTACATTTCAATGAGTAGATTCAGTGAGACCATGGCAACAATACATCAAAGGTATAAGATTAATAATAACAACAATAATAATCTAATGATATGTCAATGCAGTAAATACAAAAGTTGATAAAATCAACTTTTCAGCAAAGAAACTGTTGACCAATTGGCTAAAGAAAATTCAAACTAACATCATCTTATCATCTTCTAGTTAAAAAAAAAATCATCTACAACTGTCATTAGCCAAAACAAGGGCACATATGCGTTGCTCTCTGTTAATATACAATAGCTTCCTCAAGCTATGTAAGTTTTATCAACGAACTTGATAATTTATGATTATGAGACAAACTTATGTGGTCGAGGCCTTTAGAAAATAGGCCCGCTGAAAATGACGCACTGATATGAATGACCGATTTCCTCGGACAACATTGTTACCTCTCTCACCTTCAAAAGCAATAAACATTTTTAAGCAAGCTAAACTTCCACCGGCAATCATATTCAAAATATGTTCATCTACCACCGAAAAGGCTGACCAAGAGTCAGCCAAGGAGGTTTTCAGCACAACTTTGATCAATTACACCTTTTTCTGTTAGTGCACACATTGATCCTCATGATTGTGCTCCATAGCAAATAAACCCCATCCTCAGGAATAGAACAAACATGATACTGTGCTCATACTTAATAAAGGCTCAATCTAGCCGATTTGCAGTGCAGATGATCCTTTAGTAATGAACATGAACTCAGTCACTGGAATATAAGAAACATAATAGTTCTCCGAGGAGTGTGGTTAACTACTTCAAGCAGTTCTGAAATTGAAGATAGCAGCTGAAGTCTGATAGACGAACAACGTGCAAGATTTTATGAAGTTCCTCCTTGTTCAGAGAAAAAAAAAAAAAAAAAGAAGATAATTTAGTCACAACTAAGTTGTAAATAAAATCAGTTTTCAGCTAAGGTCAACAAAACCATTTTGAATTTCTAATGCCACTTTCCGGACCGAGAAAGTCAAAGGCATTCTAATTATCACAGGATGGAATAAGACATGTTTACCAGATGTTGAGCTGGGTAGATTTACTTTCGCACTGCATATTGAATTCATCCTTTATATCACAGGAGTGGACGGCCCTTTGAAATTTTGTTGACAGCATTTGATAGGAGTGAACTTCTGATGGCTGGATCTGTTTGATTGCCATCTTTAAATGCTTCATTGTTATAGCTGAAACATCAAGGCTTTCCTGGTAACATAACATCAAAACAAATTTTACTTTGTGAAAAGTGACAACATCCATAAAAAAATAATGTTGACTGACAAACCTCAATTGCTGCAACAGCTGCCTCCCGACATATCAATGATATGTCAGCCCCAGTACAACCATCTGTGAGTAGAGATAGTTCTTTAAGGCTAACATCAGAACCACATGGGATTTTACGCAGATGAATGCGAAATATCTCTTCCCTATCCACCTCATTCGGAGGTCCAACATATAGCAGACGGTCAAAGCGTCCTGTAAATGTCCAACATCAGTCATTTGAAACTTAAGCTGTTTATAAAACTCATTCACAATCATGTATCTGAATGGGTATAGAAGACACCGAGAGCAATAGAAGAGAAAGAATACCTGGCCTTAAAAGGGCAGGGTCAATCTTGTCTGGCCTATTTGTAGCAGCTATGACAGTGACATTAACTCTTTGATGCAGACCTGACACAAATAAAGTTTATGTCAAAAGAAATATATGATCTCAGTCCAAAGTTAAAAACTAACTGATTTCAGAAAATTCCATTTCCGGCCAACAGATATCAAATCAACATGTTGGAGCCACACACGAGCTGAAAGAGCCCCAGTAAAGTTTTCTTACATCTTAACCAATATGTATACATAAGCAATAATTCACATTTGCACTGCTCAAGATTCATCACTAACCATCCAACTCAACAAGAAGCTGACTCATGACCCTATCTGATACTGAAACACCATCACTTTCCTTCCCTCGAGTTACAGCAAGACTGTCTATTTCATCAAAAAATACTATTGATGGGGCATTTGCCCTTGCTTTTGCAAATAATGATCTGACAGCCTTCTCAGATTCACCAACCCATTTACTGAAGAGTTCAGGACCCTTGACTGCTAGAAAGTTCAACCCTGCTTCAGAAGCAACAGCACGTGCCATGAGGGTTTTACTACAACCTGGAGGTCCGAACATCAGTACACCCATAGGAGGGCGAGTTCCAATTCGATTGAATGCATCATGGTGCTTCTGTGGCCATTCAACTGCTTCCATCAATTGGGCTTTGACCTCCTTCTGACCGCCAACATCTTCCCAATTAACCTTTGGAACCTCAAGGATTACCTAAGTACAAAATTTTGAAAAACACAGTATTGCATTTCACAACCCATTTTCATAAAACTTTGATGTAGAAAATTCTGATCTTCATATATTCTATCATGTTATAAACAACAACGTTACATGAACAGAAAACATAAGATCTCACTATAATGCAAAGCCTTAAGGTAACAAGTTCCTCAACTTCAATAGTTTGTATCAAATAAAGTGTAGATAAAGAGAATACCAATTTATTTGATAGAAATTCCATTATAGATGTGAGTGACTAAACTGATTATAACAAATCACAGTTGAATGGGGGTGCTGACAAGAGATGGCATTCCTTGTATAAGTGAGCCAGGCAGGTTATGCATGTAGAAACACTAAGGTAATCCATTCTATGAGAAACTCGCAAGGGATTAATGAAAAATTAGGGAACACCAAAATAAGCCCAAATAAATAAGACAGATCTTGGCTCACAGATAATATATTTTATTAAAAACTGTCTCCCAAAAATCACTAAGGCATTGATCATACCTCTCTCATGGCACTAGGTCTTATTTTCATCCTGGCCTTCTGAAAATCTTCAAAGCTTACTTTCAAAATTTGCTCTTCACCACTATCAGGAATTATTTCCATAGTTTCATAAGTCATTCTCCTCATGCAAGGTAATACACAACTGGTGGCCGACATATCTGAAACAGATGAAGTTGCCTCACCCAAATGATCTATTGAGTTTGTTGCACCAGTCATCAGAACGTGTTGTTCTGTTACATAATCAGAACAAGAATCATAAGTCTTCTTAAAGCTAGCATAATGTCGTAGACAAATCAAGGCTGCCTCATTGCAAAGTGAAGCTAGATCAGCACCCACAAAACCATGAGTGACTGTGGCAAGGTGTTCAATTTGTAACTCAGAGAGACAATGATCCATTTCACTGAGAAGAGTGAGCAAAATATCTGAACGTTGTTTGGGGGATGGCACACCTGCATTTGGATTGAGGTGTATAGTAAATGAGTTATTCTGTGAATCCATTGAAGTATATAAAACAGAAAATTCTATCTGAATGCTAAAATGCTTGCTTGCTTCAGACTAACATTATTTTACAAATCAAAGTCACTCATGAACATGTGAATCAACTACTACACCATAGTGGCATTGGTAATTCCTAAGTATTAAGGATCAAATTGGAATTCAAATTTTCCCTTTCTTGACTCACAGAAAACAGACAGAAGTTGCACAACAAAGCATGTGGTGATTACCTCCCAAAGCACATATTGCATTTGTCTCTTGCAGTAAATAAAAGGACAATAACATGCAACTGTACAGATTTCAACAATGTCATTTCATAAAATAAAGCAGAGTCAATTTAGGTTATATAACTACTAATGGCAGTAATTGCTAAATTTAAGACATTTTGTAAGAAAAAAGAGATTTTAACTCCAAGAAAGATCAACATAATGATGTATCCTATCTGCTCTTTTAATACAACATTGCTAAATTATGGTAAACTTGATATTGTAAGAATAGTGGGTTTTTATTCAACGTTGTACTCTAAGAAACTCAAATACTATGTGGAGGGAGAGAAAAATTTGCTAGGAAACAACCTCAATTGTACTGCTCCTGTTTACGAATTATACACGCTGTATGTAGGGTTATGCATAATACAACCTTATACAAAACCTAACCATGTATAAAGAGCACAATTTTATTATCAAGTCATTTGAGATAAAAAAGGAAAAATATGTAATTAGAGAGCTTGAACTCCCTCTCTTAGGTTCTCTTATTTGTAATGGAAGCTCACGTACATAATGAGTAGAGGGAAATGAAAAGACTTATTCTAGAAACTAGGTACTAATAAAGATACAGCTCATAAATACACATGCTTCTAAAAACTAGGTATAACGGTCTATTTAATGTCTAATAAATCTAACAATCAGTTAAAAACATATGTGGAAATCTCCCCATTGAAAAATATGAAGGAGATCATTTATGTAGCTAAGGAAATTATAAATAGGATATGGGTTACGAATAGGCAAATGGCAATGAGCCAACATGAGCATCATTATTAGGATTTGTGGTATTAAGTGATGATTGGGAAGGACCTATTGAAGAGACATTGGATTAAGCATTTGGTCACGACATAGATAATAAGAGGAGGTGACAAGGATTTACATGAATCCTGAATAAGATATTGGTTGTCAGGATCAGAGAGAACCAAGGACTCCACTAAGGCTACAAGTTGGACAAAACTAATATCCTATGCAGACAAAGGAAAGAATGGAGTTGATTCAAAATAGGTTATATTTACTGACATATAATATTTCTAGGTTTCAGGAGAGTAACAACAATATCCATTTTGAAGATGAGAATATTCAAAAAAACACATTTGATAGCTCAAGCTGAGAGTTTGTCTAAACCTGGAGATGTATTATGAACAAAATATACATAACCAAAGAACGGGGAGAAACATGAAAAAGTGGTTCCTTTGAAAATAGAATGGATGATGGAAATTTATTGTCAAGGGAAGAAGAAGGCCTTCTGTTAATTAGAAAACAAACAGTTAGGATAACATATCCCCAATAATGAACAATCATATTTGCACCAAATAATAAAGCATGAGCAGTTTCAACCAAATGTCTAATTTTTCTTTCTGCTATACCATTTTGTTGTGGTGTGTGAGGACAAGTAGACTAATATAATATGCCTTGTGATTTTAAGGTGGAAAAAGCAGTGGAGAAATATTTTTTGACATTATCGTTCTACAAAACTTTAATTATTTTTCCAAATTGATTTTTGACTTCGTTAAGAAAAGATATGAAGATAGACAAATTCAGAACGATCTTTTATTAGATAAACCTAAATATATCTAAAGCATGGTAGTTAGAATTGCAAGAATCATACGATTCAAATCGTGATTCGTTTCAAAAATCAAATTTTTCGATAAAATTTATTGAATGTATCATTTTATACTTTGAATTGAAGCTTGAATCTGATGATTCGAACTTGAATATGGGATCCACGATTCAACTTCGTCTCGCAAGGAAAAGAAAAATGCAGCCGTGAGAAAAAGAAAAACGCAACACGCTGCAATGAGGGAAAAAATGCAACAATGTTACAGTGAGGGGAAAAAAAAACAATGGTGCTATGGTGAGGGGAAAAAAATGCAACGGTGCTATGGTGAGGGGAAAAAAATGCAACAGTGTGGCAGTGAGAAAAAAAATAAAAAAAAAAAAAAAAAAACACAACGATGCACTGGTGAGGAGAAAAAAGGTGCACTTCAGTGGTAAGAAGAAAAAGGTGCGGTGTGTGAGAAGAAAAAAAAAAGACTCTGGAACGATGTGAACAAAGAGAAGGCGAGAATCAATAATGTTGAAGGGGTGATGCATTGGTGACATTTACGTTTTCTATTTTCAGATTTACATTGATACTGTAAGTTATTTTTATTGAAATTGGACCATTAGGTTACTTTTTTTCTTTTTTTACTTTATCATTCAATTTATTATTTATTATTTTATTTTTCATAATCTTTTTTTATTCTACAATTTAAATTAGTATATAATTATTTTTTTATTCTACAATTTTCTATATAAAATTAGTTGATATTTTATTATTTTTTAAATCCAGTTTAATATTTTTTTATTATTTATTTTTATTTAAAAATATCACATTTTAATTATCATGTATCTTTTTATTCATGATAAGATTTGATTCACAATTCAAAAAATTATAAAAACAATAACCGTGATCAATAAAAGTAACAAAATATTTGAAACCAAAAGAGGATACACAACTGGGTCCCCAAATAACAGAATGAATAATAGAAAATACAAATTCACATCTATTCAAAATGTTTTGGAAATGAAGACCTAATATGTTTCCCTAGTTGGCACCATCTTTTTTAATTTTGACTCACATTCCAAAGTTTGAAGACTACTCAGTTTAGGAACCATCTTTTTCAATTTTGACAAGTGAGGGTAACCTACGCGTTCATGAAGCAGTTTAGAGATGAAGATGCAACACAAGATAATGATGACTTAGCCCCAATGTAGCATAAGTCTCTTGATTCATGTCTTTCCCAATCAATCAACCTGTACCACATTCCTATATAACAAAAGAGTTGGCATTAAAGGTTATTGAACAGTTCAATGATTTGGTTAGTTGACTTGAAAAAATGAGACTAAAAAGGGACATGAAGGAACAAAAAGGACAAATTTTAAGTTTAAAGATGGAGAAATGGAAACATGATCAATTCCTTTAAAGACTACTTTAGAATCGTTAGCCAGAGTTATGAAATGACAAGTTTTAGGGAACGAAAGAGAAGAGAATAACGAAGGATTACTAGACATATGATCAGAAGTACCTGAGTCAATGATCCATGGATTTTGCCAATCCATAGATTGAGAAATGCAAGTTGTTGAAGAATTTGGAATTGTTAATGATTGTGCTTGGCTGGTGGACTTCAACTTCAAATATTCCTGATATTCCTCGTCAAAAAACTTGGGCTTAATCACTTTTGTTTTGGAAATATGTGTAGTCTTGTCACGGAAACCATGTAAAAGAAAAACAAATTTCTTGGATATGGACCCATTTTCTTAAAATAGGTACATTGAGGGACTTCCTTTACCACCACGTCTTTCTCTAACGCCACAACCTTCTCTTCCGCGAGTAGAAATCATGGTGAAAGATTCACCTGGTTCCTGACCATTTTTACTCTTGAAGGTTGGAACCCAGAAAAGCCGTGTAGTTAAACTTTTTATGGAAGAAACTTCTTGACCAGTTAAGAGTTGATCACTAACATGATCAAAATTTGAATTCATGGCCCAGGAATCATAACCATATAAAATTTATCCAGTTTCTTCTTTATCTTTTCCACTAAATCTTCCTCCAAGAAAATCTCCAATTCTTCAACTACTGATTGAGCTTCAGCAATAAAGAAGCTCATATCATTATCTACTTGTTTGAGGGAGGCCAATCGATTAACAAAATCATAAAGACATTGGATATTATTTGCAAAGATGTTTTGAGCCTTTTTCCTAAAGGAATTATAAATTTTAAATGATCTAAGACCCAAAAAAGGAGGCTACAAACCTTAAACCTATGTTTACACTGTAGGGGATAGAGATACTATGAGACAGTGAGATAGACATGAAGCCTCACACCAAACAGTACCAAAACGGAAAAAGAACAGCGGTTGGTAGCGGAGGACAAGGACAGGCAAAGTGGGATTTACCCACTCTAATTCCAACTTAAGATAAAACGGGGAAAATATGTAATTAGAGAGCTTGAACTCCCTCTCTTAGATTCTCTTATTTATAATGGAAATTCACATACATAATGAGTAGAAGGAAAATTAAAAGACCTATTCTAGAAACTAGGTACAAATAAAGATACAATTCATAAATACACATGTTTCTAGAAACTAGGTACAACTGTCTATTTAACATCTTATAAATCTAAGAATCAGTGAATAACATGTGGAAATCTCCCCCTTGAATAATCGCAGTCTTGTTACAGAATATAATCAACTAAAAAGCCTAACTATAGTAGTAAAATAATAGAGGTTTTAATATTTTAATGAAAAGGAGATGAAGTACATGTTGTACTGATTTTTTTTATTTTTGTTAAAAATATTTGCATCCCAGCTGCATGATGCAGCAATTGCACTCTGCTTACGTATCAAACTAGATCGTTCTTACAATGTAGTGACATGTGGATGCAGAAGTTTGGGGTGAAATTCATACAGTTAGGTCTTTAGGTATGTGCTTTAAGATAATAACATACTATTCACAGGGAGATACTAGCTAAGGTCATACCAATTTCAATTTCCTTGTCAAATCTTCCAGGTCGTCTGAGAGCTGGTTCAATATGGTCAGGACGATTAGTGGCAGCAATTACAAGTAACCCTTTAGTTCTACTAATTCCATCCATCATATTCAATAAAGTGGCAACCAATCTTTGAGATAGCTCTTCACCTCCTTCTTTCCTTGCAGGGGCAATTGCATCTAATTCATCAATGAATACCTGTACATAACAGAAATCTCATATTCAGCCAATTAAGAGAACTTTGAATATAAAACATCAGGTTTGAAATAAGTGTAACTATTTTCAGTGAACCTTAAATATACAAAACTAGATTATCAAAAGCTTGGAGAAAAATGTAAAGATTCTCCAAACATCGATCAAGAGCAGGCTTCCATGGGTCACACAGTATGATCGGAGAGTGTCATTAATTTAAATATATCTGCTTTAACAGTGTACATCCCACCTGAATATTTTGTGATGAATAATTTCCAATATAAGAATAATTTCCAATATCTGCTTTAACAGTATAAATCACACCAGAGAAATTATAGATACAAGAATAATTTCCAATATAAGACTGTCTTTTTACATCACTAAATAACATAGGCTACACATCAATAACTTCCTGAAGTTTCACGGAAAAAGAACTATTCATGAATTTATGATAATTTAGGCAATTTTGATTTTTAAATAATATTAAAGAATTAAACAAAAAATGGTATTATTCATTACTTTTTCACCAGAATTTAAAATATAAACCAGGGCATTAAATGAAAAAATAAAGCTTAATTTTTTTTTCATTTTATATATTTTATAATCCTATTGCCTTCAAATAATTTCTACAATGAACAACATTTTGTAATTGAATGCCTCAGAAAATTCAGCAATCTTTGTATTGTAGTTCCTTTAAATTTCACTTGATTTATTGAGACCAACATTCTAGCAGCAAATATCTTATATATTTTCATAAGCCTCAAAATATATAAGGTGTTTCACTGACTCCACAAATCAACACCAAAATATACCACATATGATGATATTACGCCAGAATGCTTTAAGGAAAAAGTCTCTTCGTAAAAGCATTAGTTGTATCACAAATGTGAAAAAAGGTATAAAAGCAACAGAATTGAAATCACAATTAGAAAATCACCAGTATCTACCTGCATAATAGCACATACTATATTTACTGTTAAAGGTCTAAAACTGTAATATAAAACTTCAATGTGTGATATGTCATTATTTAATTCAAACACAATGAAAGGAAATAACTGGAAAAATATTGACAAAAAAATCTAACCACAGCAGGTGCAGCTTCAATAGCTGAATCAAAAACTTTATGCAATGCTTGTTCACTTTCCCCATAATATTGGGTCACAATTTCAGGTCCATTTATTGGGAAAAAATTGACTCCAACATCATGAGTACATAATTGAGCCAGGGAAGTCTTTCCAGTACCAGGTGGACCATGAAGAAGGACACCTCTTGTAGTCCTCAAACCAAAACTACAATTGGGGAAAACAAGAATTAGAAATGCATGTACAAATGCATATTAGTATGTGAGAACACATAACCATGAACGTGGAGGAAAGTACTTTGAACTATAAATTCATCATTGACAGGCATAAACTGATATAAATGTGCAGCAAGAAATTGTCAAAATTCATGCCTCTAATAAATTGACTAGATAAAACAAAGAATTACCTGAATCGTATAATTTAAAAAAAAAATGATAATATATGCAAATTAAATCCATTATGAACAAGAGTTAACCACTTGAACTTTATCTTTTCACAAACTAATCACCAATAACGATATCTGGAGAAAAGCTATCAGTCACTGACTTTTATGAATGACATGCCTTTCTATTACGAGTAAAAATTCAATGGTTATCCATTAATTAAAAAAGAAAAGAATGTTCTTCACACAACAGTTAAGTGTACAAGAAAGATTAATTAAATGGTAATTAACAATTACAACTTGCAAGAGCAATGAGGGAGAAAGCAAATACTAAACAATGAATATATTTGCTTAATAAAGAATAAAGAAAAACTTTAAAATATTAAATCTGAAGGCATAAAATATCTAATTGCGCAACCATGTGTCTAAAGACCTTTTAGGTTCCCAGCAGATTATATTTTTTTAATAGAAAAAAAAAATTCATTAGAAAAAAGAAACAAAGTATAAGAGCAGAGGATACTCCAAATCTGCTTCTGAAGCAGAAGGACTAAATGCCCTCTTCCATTGGAATATGAAATAAGTGGTATCATATCAGTGTTGTCAAAGAAGCCTAAAGGAGCCAGCGTGCAACTATGGTACTGAGGTAACATGCTAGCTAGATGGGTAAAATAGCCAGACTAGGACTCTCAGCACAATTTAGTCTTTAGTTCTGTCCTGAATGCTATGATTGAGTTATTAGATTTTTATGGAAAATTAGTGCAAAAATAGTCAAATATTTAACTGGTTTGTCTATAGCTAACATTCAAAAACCTTTCTTCAGCAAGGGGTTAACTGTTTTGCACTTCTTGTCCATGAATCACCTTGGACTACCTTGATATAGACTATGTGAAGACCATGGACAACACAATTCTGGTTCTGTATGGAGTCCTATGATAGCACTGTGTCCTTTACATTAAAAATTCACAAACAATAATTAAAAATCAGACTAAACAATCCATGTAGGGAACTTCAAATGACAAGACACAAAAGAAAAGAAGGGGGCATGAGCATGGCAAAAAATATTTGGTATATAGGGATTGGGAATACTCTGACTTAAGAGGTATGCAACCTATACGTGACCACAAATGAAAAGAAAATAAAAACTTATAATTCTCCTTTTAGATATGCCATATCAGAATTGAATACAGGCTTGAATGTATAATAAAAATGATTCTCTCATTTTTCAAGTATCAGTTTTACTTAGTCACTATCTTTAAGACTCTGTTGGACTTTTGGAGTTGCCACCCAATTCACATGAATAACAGCTAACATTCTGTGTGCCATCACACTATAAGTACAGACTCGTCTGCCACTAGAAAAGAATTTATGATCAAACTCTAAACCATTTTTTTGCATTTTCTTACGAAACTATAATTGATATATCTTGAAGAGACATACTCAACATAAAAATCCAATAAAGAAAATTTCAAACCTTCATCTCAAATATAATATGAATCGACCAAATATTATGAGTGTGTAGCAGGAACCTTAATTAACAGTCAGCACTATTTGAATCCACCAAACATGATAATATGCATAGAACAACACAAAATCTAAGGCAAGGAAAAAATAAACAATAGTTCAACATTAAATGTTATCTCCACATGTGAAACTATGCATCAGACAAGACCTACCTTGATAAAGCATCATTCACTGACGAAGAAATTATGTCCTTTAGAAGTGTATATTCTTTGGATAAACCACCCAATTTAGAGATTTTATCCCGTAAGCTAGCATTAGCAACTTTGTGTTCTAGTTTCACACAAGATATATCCCTTTGAAATGGCTCTTCAGATGCCGCATTTGATGGCAGAGATAAAAATACCTTTGTTTCGTAATTAACAGTGAAAGCCTGATTTACAGTAACTGCTGTATCAGAATCCTCAGGATATAAATCATTGCTTTCACTTGATGGATAATGATCAGATTTGGTACCTGGCTGCTTCTTAGCTCCTATCACTTGGAAAAAGCACTCTGAAAACGTTGAGATGTTAACAAGATTCCCTAGAAGTAAAGATCGAGAATATAACCATGAAGTTGCCCATGTCTGAAGTAATTGTTTAGAACTTTCATCCCCTAATGCTAAGCTAACATCAGATGAAATCAGTGATTGACTATTCTGATTTGGCACACCAGATGCTGGATCATTAAATCGCGGAGATGATAAACCACTAGCATTAGAGAACTTTGATCCATAAGAAGGTGTCACAGGAGATGCAACAACGTCATTCTCAAATTGGACATGAGATTTCACCTTAGACACGTCCAATGAGGGAAAATTATTAAATTTCAACGGTAGCCCATTTTCAGAAGGAACCAACTGAAGATACAATTCCTTGCAATTATTAATAGGTAGACAATTATTTTCCGTAGAATCCTGTTGATTGATCCCACTGGCAAGAGGAGGCAAGAGTTGTTTCTGTAATGCATGAACAAACACACTTGTGCCGAAAGGAGGACATCCCATGGTATCATAAAGGTTTGAAGACAAGCGTACTCCATTCTTCAAAACCTATGTAAATGTAATAAAATATAAAATTCTGGTAAAGATAGTTGCACTGTTATAAATACATACACATATTTGTATATAAAGAAGGATATCTGTTAAATACAGCTTACAAGAAATATATATATATATATATATATATATATAAGTAGTAACAGGACAAACCTTACTAGCAGGAAACACCATTGCAAGCACAAAGTAGTTTCCCGCATCATCATCATCATCATCAACAGCCTTCCCAATTTCCAATCCATGGCGTTTGGCACATTCATTAGCTAATGACACTAGGGGAAAGCTATGCAATTGTGAACTTTTATTATCGTCTGAAGATGGAATAGACACCTAAAAATTAATCAAAATGGTGAAAGAAGGATAGCAGCATCACAAAGAATCCAATTATAGACTGATACGGCAACATGAAACTATGATTACAAAAAAAAAAAACGATATTGATATTAATTGGCTAAAATAGAATTTTGGCCTTTACAGGTTTTATTTTCCCCTCTTATGTTTTAAAATTTTCATTTTGAAAACTTTAATTTTCTTTGTTAAACCATTTATTTTTCCTTTTTATAGTTTATCAAACTAATTTGGTAATACTTGTCAAGCTGTGAGAGGCGACAAATCAGCCAAAATTAACACAGTTGGTGTCAAAACCAGTTTGATCTAACAGAATGCCAAAAGGACTAAAGTTAAACTTTTCAAACTTATGGGAACAACCTAAATCCCAAAAATGTAAGGAAGAGAGGGCTGACCTGACAATGAACTGAATCAACTCTAGTATAGTTTTGAGACTAGACTCGATAATTGATTAGTTTAACTTAGCTCATGAACCAGACGAGTTGTTAGCTCGACTTCATTTACAATTATAATTATTTTACATATTTTTATTTATTTATTTATTTCACCCAAAAATAAAATTAATTATGAGTTTAATAATATAAAATATATTATTTAACATACATGTATCAAGCGGGCTCATGAACCAAACGAGTGGAAGTAAACAGGTCAATTTCAGCTTATTTGGTCTATGAATTAACAAGCCAAACAGAAGTATCTACGTGGTTGGATTGCTATTCTGATTGAGTCTAGTGAATTCTTATCATATTAGTCTAAGAAGGGGCGAAAATGCTACGTTAGGAACATTAGTTTTAAGCAAAGGTAATTAAGACAATATAAAGCGTATGTGGAAGAAAATGTGATGGTGATTACCGAGACAATGGAACCGGGTGAGAGAGAGGAGGAGAGCATGGAAGGTTCGGAGAGCCAAATTCTGAAGCCCTTGAAAAGGGGAACGGTGTCGTCGACATGGGTGATTTCGGCCACGAAGGCGGATTTAGCGATGAGAGAAGGGAACTTTCGAGAAGCTTCTTCGCATAAAGAGGCAAGCTCTTGTGGTTGTTGCTGCTGCGTCTTGGAAGGCGTGGTGGTGGCATTCGACGACAATGGCGAGTTCTGCAGCTGGGCCTTGGATTGCTTCTTTTTGTGCTTCGAATTCGAGCTCGAAGACATTATTCCACCCTGCGTTTCGTTTAGAACTCTACTCAATCAAAAACCCCTTTTCGCAGAGAGGGTTTTACCATTTCAGTAGGATAGTATAGCATGGGTCTTGTTACCTAATTAGTGTGAAAATTGGGATGATTTCTGCTAGGGCCAAATTCCCGGGAAGTTAGATTAGTTTCATTTTTATTTTTTTTGTAAAATATATAATTATATAATTCATACTTAATTTTTTAAAATATTATATAACATCATATTCAAATGAAGTTTTTTATTATAAATATTTATGAGAGAATATAAACTACTTCAATTTAGTTAAACTAAAATAAACTTATGTAATAGATAAAAATAGCTTTTTGAAAAAGTTTAAATCGTTTTATTTTTTTTACAGCAATTTATGTCTTCTGTTAAAAAAAAAAGTAAATTAAGTTTATTGATATGAACTAGCTGTGTGTATTAGCTTCTTTCGAGAGTTGATTTTAATTTATGAATTCATAACATAAAAAAAAAAACGTTTTTTCTTATTTGTTTTTTATGACTTATATAAAAATAGCCAATTGAAATGTGAACTATTCTTTTTAAAAGTAAGAAAAAAAATTATTTTGTTTCTTATAAGTTTATAGACAAATAGTCAATTAGATTATGCCCTACTTTTACAAAAACTAGGGATTTGTTTATTATTTTTTTAAAATAAAACACTAATATATTTGTTTAGTAACTATTTCTATAAAACACTTTTTTAAATTATTTTTTATTTTTATTTTTTTAAATATTTTTTATTATATTTTTTTGTTTTTACTATTAAATATCAATATTTTATTCAATAATTATATTAAATCACTTATTTTTCATTATTATATAATTATCAAATTCATTATAAAGATTAAACAAGTTTTTCTCCAACTTATTTTTAAAAATAATATTTTAAACTTATCTCTAAAATTATTTTTAAAACTAAATCACACAAACCTAGGTATATATGAATTTATTTTGTATATTCGTGGTTCCAGTAGTTTTCTATACTCTAAAGCTATTAAATTAAAAAAAAATATATATATATATATATATTAATAATTTTTTAGTTAAATTAAGAATATATAGTGTAATGCTAAATTATATTTCTAACCAATTATCAATATACTTTCGAAAGTTTATATTGTTGAAATATAAATCCACCTAAAAATAAAAATAATAATATAGATTATACAAAAGTTATACGAAAAATAATTTATTTGTATACTGTTAAAGCTATTATGTTAAAGAAAATATGTAAAAAGGATATATAATAAAGACAAAATTATAAATAATAAAGCTATTAAAATAATAAAAGAATGTATAAAAATAATCGTAATTATATCACAAGTAAAATGTTTTTTATGGTTACATCTAACTTATATACAAAATAATTATTAATAACAATTAAAAACATATTTAACAATTTGTTAAAATATAAAATTGGTTTTTTTTAAGTTGAGTAATGTTGACTTTGGATTTTTTTTTATTTAAAAATAAATAATCTTTAAAGTTTTCATATAAAATAAATTATGTAATGATATTTGTGGAGTTTATTTAGAAAAAAAATTGTGAACTAAGTTCTTGTGCTATAATTTTCAAATAATTCATAAAAAAATATCAAGTATATTAGAAATTTAAATCTATTCATAAATCATTATAAAAAAATATACATACTCAACTTGTGATAACAGTTTGTATTAAGAGAAATAAATATTCTTGATTTATTCTCAAAATGACAAGTTAAATTCTTGATTGTCTTTATAGATTATTTCACTAAATGGATAGAAATGAAATCTTTATAATATCATTATTATCTAACATGTACAAAATTTATTTTGAAAGAATGTGATAGATAATAATGGACTCCCTAGTGCCATAATAGCAAATAATGGAAAATAATTTATTGGTAAAGATTTAAAATAAATTTTATAGGACCTTGGATAAAACATCAAGTATCCTCGATTGAGCACTCTTACACTAATGAACAAGTAAAAGTTGCTAGTAAGATTACATTAAAACTCGGATAAACAAAAGACTCTAGACAAAAGAAATCTTAAGTATTTTATGGGTTATTATTGTATCCTCTAGTCTTCCACAAACAATACTTTTTTAAAATTAACATATGAGATTATGCAATGATAATAGTTGAATTAAGAGAATATTTCTGGAGAAGACAATAGTCTTCCACAAACAATACTTTTTAAAATTAATATATGAGATGGATGCAATGATAATAGTTGAATTAAGAGAAGATTTTTGGAGAAGACAATTTAATAATATCTACAATGATGAAAACCTCCTAGTTAATCTAGATTTAATTAATGTTGTTCAATAAATAACTTGAATGTAAAAAGAAGTGATTAAAAATTGGGTAACTCAAAAGTACAACACTCAAATCATAAAGAAGAGATTTTGAAAGGGATACTTGTTATGAAGAAAGGTGGGGAAGCCTCCCAAGATCTAATAAAGTAAATTCACCATAAATTAGGATGACTCTTATAAAATAGTTTATTTATAAAAAAATAGTGCAACAAATTGGGACGAACTCTCTAGTCCTCAATAAAATAAATTGTATAGAGTCTCTTACTATTTATTGGCTCGTAAGCATTTTATTGTCTTCCATCTCCTCAGGTTTAACATGTAGTTGGCACATGATTTTAACTTATAAGGGACATGATAATAAAGAGAAAAATAAGGAGTGTAATCAAATTTCAACAAAAATTTCCTAATATAATTGGGCATACTTTATTTTGAACAATCGAGTTTGGAAGTTTTTAAAGGAAAAGTAATATACAAAGAATAGGTCACCATGTTGATATTTTCAAGGATACCCAATTGACCTCTTAATCATGTCTTAATTGATAAAAATACATATTTATAATAGGAGATATATCTAAAAAGATCACACAAAAATTAAAAGTTTAACAAACTTGACATTTATATCAACACAAAAACCTAACAACTATCATCTATAAAAAGCAATAAACATAAGATTAGATGAATAATGATCTACCTCGTTAAGTACTCAACTATATTTATATTTAGGTGATTAAAAAATGAGGTGAAAGTTCTCGTTCTAAATTTCAATTTAGGCTAAAAAACACTCAATTTGGATGAGTAGAATGAAAGTTATGACCATGAAATAAATCTGGGAAAAATTGAGTTTCCTGGGTTCTGGTGAAGAAAGGACAAGAGATAAATATGAAAGATCAAAGGAAAGAATCACTCTTCCCAAGGGAGGCAACTCATAAAGGATGTAAAAGTTCTTTGATACAGTCAAAGGTTCTTGAATCACTCAAACTTAGGATAATCACTCTCACCAAGATAAAAGAGTTAGACTCTAATATTTCTGAATAAAACTCAACTTGTATTTTTGATAAAAATGGTTCAACTTATATAGAAGTTTTTCCATCAGAGTTACAAAGATTTAATAAAGGAAAATAAACCCTAATAATGATCTATTAATTTAGGAATTGAAAACTACTTAATGGAGACAAATAAATGTTAATAATTATCCATTAACCTAGGAATTAAAAACTACTTAATGACTGATTATAATTAAAATTGTGGCAACCAAAAGTCAATCAGCTATGCATCCTCTTGGTCTTTTAAAGGTTGATGCCTAAGTTTTCAATTGGGTCCTTGTTACAAATTGAAACAAAACCAAACTAAAACCCATTAATTGATTAACCCAAAACATAATTTGGTCAGCCAATTTTACAAAAGATTGAGTAATTATTTAAACAAACTTAAAGACTGAAACAAAGTGACACATTAGTCCTCCTCCATTTGGGCCATGATGCAATTCATAACTTTGGTATTTTCTCCTTCAAATGTGGGCTTGTATTGAAATAATATGGACAACACTTGTTGAAGAGTTTCCTTTGCTTCCCTTGCTCTAGCCATTGTCATAAGTCCTCCAAGTCCTTCAAGTGAATCCTTGCCCTTGCTCAAGGTCATGTCTCTATCATTCTCTCCCTCTTGAGAAGGATTTGTCCTTAAATCGGATTTGTGATCTACGCCAAAAAGAGATAAGTCAGACACAATGAATGTGGAACTAACATTATACTCACTGGGCAACTCAATTTTGTAAGCATTGTCATTGATTCTTTCAAACACTTGGAACGAACCATTCCTCCTTGGTTGAAGTTTCAATTTCCTTTGTTCTGGAAACCTTTCCTGTCTCATGTGCACCCAAACTCAATCTTAGGTTGGAAGACAATCTTCTTCCTCCCTTTGTTGGCTTACTTAGCATAACTTTCATTTCTTTTCTCAATTTGATTTTTTACTCTTTCATGAAGCTTTTTTACATAGTCCGCCATAGCTTGACCTTCTTTATGCTTAAAAACTTGTCCCTTTTTATGTTTGATAACATAAGGAATTGCTTTAGAAATTCCACCAACTTGACATGTCTTTTATTCAGCTTACCTTGTCCCTTAAGATACTTGAGGGACCCATTGTCACTATAAATGACAACTTCCTTGGGATAAAGGTAGTGTTGTCATATTTTCAAACTTCTCACTAAGGCATGAAACTCCTTATCATAAGTTGAATAGTTAAGGGTAGGACCACTTAACTTTTCACTAAAATAAACAATTGGATGACCTTCTTGCAACAACGCAACCTCAATCCCAACATTTGAAGCATCACACTCGATTTCAAAATATTTTTTAGAGTTTGACAAAGTAAGTATGGGGACGTTGATTAACTTTTGCTTAAGAACATTGAAAGCTTCTTCTTGTTTCTCTCCCCATTTGAAACCAACATTTTTCTTGAGCACTTCATTGAGAGGTTTTGCCAATGTACTAAAATCTTTCACAAATCTTCTATAAAAACTTGCTAAGCCACGAAAACTTCTCACTTCAGTCACAGACTTAGGTGTAGACCATTCTTGAATAACCCTAACATTTTCCTCATCCACTTATACTCCTTTTGAACTCACAACAAAACCAAGAAACACAACATGATTAGTGCAAAAGATGCATTTGTCAAGATTG